CTGTGAGATCATGACCTGAGCCGAAGTCGGATGCTTAACCGACTGAGAAATGACACCATTTTTAGTTAGTATACAATTCTTACAAAATTTATGTGAGGTAAATAGATGGGAATGTAGAAGCACTTAGAAAAGTTTATTCTCCTAGAAGACCTAACAATTAATGACATGAACATTAGAATCCAGCTTAATTGAATTCTGGCTAATGATTTCCCTTCTACCTTTCTCCTCTCATTTCTCCGTCTCTCTCCCTTCCTTTTACTTAGTAATATTTAATGAATGCCTTACGTGCCCAGTACTATTCTAGGTACTTTCCTTTAGATTGTCTGAAAAATGTAGAACTATTCACCTCTACCTTTCAGCTTTGTTTAATAGCAGATATTTAGACTAAAGAAAACAAAGAGGTTTTCTAATTCAAGCCCTAATATTGGCCAGTGTTTTCTCTTATGAAAGATTTTATAGGGTCTAGATGATAACATTCCAGTGTGTCAGTTGATAGTGTCAGAAATAAAAATGATAATGTTTCTGTATTAGCTGCTTCCCTAAGGCGATGTGAGATAGGCCTTAAATGGTAAAAGAAAAATTTAGGCATAATCCATATTGATATTCATCATTAAAAGATACGTACATGTTGCAAGTAAAATGTGAAAAGGGTAATAGTTAATTAAAAGGGTCCTTTGCTTGGGTTTCCTAAAAAAACAGAACCTGAGACAAAGATTAGTAGCTGATGCTTCATTTGAGAGAATCCATGGGTGGTGAAAGTGGGAAGAACGGGAATCGATTCAGGGACTGATGAGAAGCAGCACGAGATGGTGTGTTCACCCTACTGAGCACAGCCGCACAGTTGAGCTGACGGTGAAATAGCTGTGTGCTCAGCATGTATACCTGCTTTACCACTTAAGGCATCTCCAGGCAGGGAGCACAAAGGAACTGTACCTCAGTATAGACTTTGGGAGGGAAAGAAGAGAGAATTTATCTGCCTGGCTCTCTGTCAGCTCCTGTTTTCCCCTGGGGAAAAGTTTACCCATGGGATGGTAACTAATCCCACAGTTCCAGGTTACAGCACTCCTCCAGCAGCTGCCTTGAAGCCAAATTCAGTGGCCTGTGGTGTAACTTTTCATCCAAGTTCAGAAGCAGCAAGAGAATCCAGAACTTGGGGTGTACTTGTGTATGCAGAGACCATAATAGGGAAGAGCCAGGCCTTCTTAGGCAAGCAAAACTCATTAGGCCTAAGGGGTGGTTCCACAGAAGTAGAGGCTGAGATGGAGCAAGCTTGGGGCCCATGAGATAATAACACTAAGAGAATCTGAGGAGGTACCTAAAATGTTTCTGCTACAAGACGTATTAGAAATCCACAATTTGTTCCAATCTCTCAACTGTTTTATCTTAAACCGCAGTTGTAACCTCAGCCAATATTTCCTTACCCTGAAAATTCTTTACTGTTTAGATTAATACTTTTTAGTTTCAGCATTAGCATTCTTGAATTTTCTTCATTTTTTTTTTTCTGGAAGAGATCTTTTCATAACCTTGTCTGTTGTATATGCAGGTTTTATTAAATGTGATTACTCAATGAATTGCATATTTCAAAACTACTTTTCTAGGCCATAGTTTCTTGTTTTATCTTTTTATACACAGCTGCCAAATGGAATCTCTTCTATTTCCCCATGTCCTTCCTCATTCTGTAGTTGTAAAACCCTGTTGTTTGGTTTCTCTGTCTTCCTCTACCTCTGACCCCAACATCAGTTGTTAGGTATACGCCTTAAGTAACAGAAATACACATGAGAGGAAAGTAGCAGTGTAACTTCTATAGCCTCAGGAGTTCTTTTATGAAAATTTACTTGTCTTCCCCCCTTTTTTTAAGTTGTAAAAGGTTTTGTTTGTTAATATGAAAATGTGTTATTTGATATTCCATGTTTACTTTATTACTCATTTTATAAGATGGGATTTCAAAGACATGATGTAAATAAGGTATGTCACTGTAGAAAAATTGGAAAATACAGATAAGTAGAAATTCGCCCTACTTAAATCATGTAGACATAACTACTGTTAGCAGTTTGAGAAATTTTTTTATATATCAGAAGACTCACTTAAAAAAGACCTACACTTGGCTCAGTTAATCTGCCAACAAATATTAATTACTTATTCTGAGAAGATATGAAGGATACATAGTGCTTCCCTCAAGGAGCTTGCAATCTAGTTGAAAAGCTACTCCTACCAGCACGAGAACACAGAACACTTGATAAAACAGGTACACTGTCACACAATTCCTGTCTGCCCGTGGCAAAATGGTGATTCAAATTTTTAAGAGAACACTTCCTTCTTAGCAGAACAAAATTAATTTATTTTCTTAGCAAACATTTATGGAATATCCACTATGTGCCTAAAATCAAATTGATTAATTGATTATTCCATTCATTGCTCACAATGAATTGTATTTTGGTAATTGAATATGTTGAATCAAACAAATTGATAACATGAATATTTTTATTTTATAATTTCAAGTAGTATAAGAATGTGCAACTGATTTAACAACTTTCTAGGTGAATAATGAAGATTTTTGATTGATTTTTATTGCAGGATGGCGTGGTTCTTGTTCATTGTAATGCAGGAGTTTCCAGGGCTGCTGCAATTGTAATAGGTTTCCTGATGAATTCTGAAGAAATCTCGTTCATCAGTGCTTTTTCTTTGGTGAAAAATGCAAGGCCTTCCATATGTCCAAATGCGGGCTTCATGGAGCAGCTTCGTACATACCAAGAGGGCAAGGAAAGCAATGAGTGTGACAACATACAGGAATTAGAAAAGGGTGACAGTTCATGAGTTACATTCCAGCAGATAATGGACAACTGTAATTTCTGAACTGGCCCCCACAGCCACCTGTCCCCATTTTTGAAGAGTAGACTAGTAAAAACTTCCTTTTGTCTTGCGTTTTTCAAGTGGAAGTGGAGGTTAATTGATTGTCTTGAGCTAGTGTACAAATATGTTTTTAAATCATGTCATGTTTTCCTTGGTATTATAATGTGGGATTGGATGCTGCTTTGATTTGCTAAGAGGAAATAATGTATTACCAATAATTGGTTTCTGTAGAAGAAAAAGGTTTACATTTGAAATCTTTATTAGAGCATGAAAAGATTAAATCAGTTGATGAAGACTTTTAGTATTTTTCTATGCCAGCAACCACTTCCATGAAGGGAAAAACCACTTCCAAGTGCTACTTGACTTACTATTTCAGAGGGAGGTAAATTTCTATGTAAAGAATTTGGGATTAAAAACTAATATCTTAAACCTCCCAAAAGAGATAACCAAAATCTGAAGGTTGACACAATATAGGCATACTTCGTTTTATTGCGCTTCACTTTATTGTGCTTCGCAGACGATTTGTATTTTAGAAATCGAGAGTGGTAACCCTGCATCAAAGAAGTCTTTGGGCACCATTTTCCCAGCAGCATTTTCTCACTTTGTATCTCTGTATTGCATTTTGGTAAATCTCACAATGTTTCAAATTTGTTCATTATAGTTCTATTTGTTATGGTGATCTGTGATCAGTGATCTTTGATGATACTGTTGTAATTGTTTGGGGGGTGCCATGAACCATGCCTCTGTAATATGGTGAACTTAATTGATAAATACTGCATGTGACGTAACTGTTCTACCAGTTGGCCCTTCCCCCATCTCTCCTTCTTGGGCCTCCCTATTTCCTGAGACACAACAATATTGAAATTAGGCCCATTAATAACCCTACAATGGCCTCTAAGTGCTCAAGTGAAAGGAAGAGTCGTATGTCTCTCACTTTAAATCAAAAGCTAGAAATGATTAAGCTTAGTGAGGAAGGCATGTCAAAAGCGGAGATAGGTCGGAAACTAGGCCTCTTGCGCCAAACTGTTAGCCAGGTTGTAAATGCAAAGGATAAGTTCTTGAAAGAAATTAAAAGTGGTACTCCAGTGAACACGCGAATGATAAGAAAGCGAAACAGCCTTATTGCAGATATGGAGAAAGTTTTAGTGGTCTGGATAGAAGATCAAACCACCCACAACATTCCCTTGAGCCAGAGCCTAATCCAGAGCAAGGCCTTAACTCTCTTCAATTCTATGAAGGCTGAGAGAGGTGAGGAAGCTGCAGAAGAAAAGTTTGAAGCTAGCAGAGGTTGGTTCATGAGGTTTAAGGAAAGAAGCCGTCTCTGTAACATAAAAGTACAAGGTGAAGTAGCAAATACTGATGTAGAAACTGCAGCAAGTTATCCAGAAGATCTGTCTAAGATCATTAACGAAGGTGGCTACACTAAACAACAGATTTTCAATGTCGATGAAACAGCCTTATATTGGAAGAAGATGCCATCTAGGACTTTCATAGCTAGAGAAGAGAAGTCAATGCCTGGCTTCAAAGCTTCAAAGGACAGGCTGACTCTCCTGTTAGGGGCTAATGCAGCTGGTGACTTTAAGTTGAAGCCAATGCTCATTTATCATTCTGAAAATCCTAGGGCCCTTAAGAATTATGCTAAATCTACCCTGCCTGTCCTCTATAAATGGAACAACAGAGCCTGCATGACAGCACATCTGTTTACAACATGGTTTACTGAATATTTTAAGCCCACAGTTGAGAACTACTGTTCAGAAAAAAAGATTCCTTTCAAAATATTATTGCTCATTGACAATGCACCTGGTCACCCAAGAGCTCTGATGGAGATGTACAACGAGATTAATGTTGTTTTCATGCCTGCTAACTCAACATCTATTCTCCAGCCCATGGATCAAGGAGTCATTTCAACTTTCAAGTCTTATTATGTAAGAAATACATTTCGTAAGGCTATAGCTGCCATAGATAGTGATTCCTCTGATGGATCTGGGCAAAGTAAATTGAAAACCTTCTGGAAAGGATTCACCATTCTAGATGCCATTAAGAACATTCGTGATTCATGGGAAGAGGTCAAAATATCAACACTAACAGGAGTTTGGAAGAAGTTGATTCCATCCCTCATGGATGACTTTGAAGGGTTTAAGACTTCAGTGGATGAAGTAACTGCAGATGTGGTAAAAATAGCCAAAGAATTAGAATTAGAAGTGGAGCCTGAAGATGTGACTGAATTGTTGCAATCTCATGATAAAACTGTAATGGATGAGGAATTACTTCCTATGGATGAGCAAAGAAAGTGGTTTCTTGAGATGGAATCTACTCCTGGTGAAGATGATGTAAAGATTGTTGAAATGACAACGAAGGATTTAGAATATTACATAAACTTAGTTGATAAAGCAGCAGCAGGGTTTGAGAGAATTGACTCTAATTTTGAAAGAAGTTCTACTGTGGGTAAAATGCTATCAAACAGTATCGCATGCTACAGAGAAATTGTTCGTGAAAGGAAGAGTCCATCAATGCGGCAAATTTCATTATTGTCTTACTTTAAGAAATTACCACAGCCACCCCAACCTTCAGCAACCACCACCCTGATCAGTCAGCAACCATCAACATCAAGGCAAGACCCTCCACCAGCAAAAAAATTACGGTTTGCTAAAAGCTCAGATGATGGTTAGCATTTTTTAGCAATAAATACTGTATTTTTAAATTAAGGTATGTACATTGTTTTTTTAGACAATGCTATTGCACACTTTAAATAGACTGCTGTATGGTGTAAACGTAATCTTTATATGCACTGGCAAACCACAAAATTCATTTGACTCACTATTGCAACATTTGCTTTATTATAGTGGTCTGGAACTGAACCCACAATATCTCTGGGGTATGCCTGTATTTCTATAGAGGTTACAGTGTTCACAAAGTTTTTATGTCCTTTTATGAAAATGTACCTACTTTTCATTTTTATTTTTAACTTAATTCTATTGCCTGTATTTATTTTTTTTCTTTTTAAAACTTTTGTATAGATGTTCTCTCTTACATGATTGTGACCTAATGGTTCTTCAGGTGATCTAGTCTTTTACAGTATGTTTTTTATATCCTAGCCTTCTGTTTTGGGTTACATGTCATAATTTTTGGTATCCTTAGGTCTGTGAGAAAATGTTTTACACTGAAAGATCATTTTTTAGGTGTAATTGTTCAAATTTGTTTTCCAGTTTGGTATTCTAGAGAACGTATTTTTAAGGAAAGAAGAGTTATGGTTTTGTAAGAAATTTTAAGTATTTTGTTAGAAAGCCTAAAATCATGTACATTTTATCTCTGGTCAGAGGCATAATAGTTTTCTTTTTATTTTTTTTTAATTAAGTCTCCATATTGGCAAGGCTGAACTCTGTACATTATAAATTTGGTTAAAGATATTCTTTGAATTATTCAGCATAAAGTGTACTTAAAATTAATTATAATAAGTAAGATAGAATTTATCTAATAGCTTTCAAATAGCCTTTCATGACTTAGAAACTTTCATTGACATCTAGATTTTATTAAGAAAGTCTTGAGCTCTTCTTCAGTAACACATTACAGAGAGCAAGGACATTCCTAGGTGTAAGTTGGAAAGTGCACTTTGAGTACATTTGTGCATTTGAGAAGGCAGTCTTTCTTATGCTGTCATGATCAAAGAGTAGAAATGATAAATACAAATTATGTTTTGAGATGGCTTGTAGCCTGGCAAGATGCCATTACATGCAAAGCTATGAACTTTGCTTCTGTTGAGAAGCAGCATAAATGTAATCAATTTACAGTGAGCTCTTTGAGGCAGGCCAAGGAGACAGAATCCTGAAGTATGAGACTGATCTGTAATGTTGTCTTTATGGTCAGTATTGCTGAGGGTTTGCTAAGTGAACCTTTTCTTTTCACATGAAAGCATTTATTTAAATACACTTTCTTTTGCTAGGTGTTCCTTAGTTTTCAGCCATTAAATGTTGTGAAGCCTTGACTAGAACTTGTTCATAATGGATAGTATATTACTTATGCTTAGTTGTTGCCTATAGTTATCTGGTTATGGTGCAAATGCATATTTTCTGTATCATTTACAGAAATGCTTTGAACATCAATACTTTTTTAAATGTTAATTTATTTTGAGAGAGAGAGAGAGTGCACACATGTCTGTGAGAGCTGGGGAGGGAGAGAATGGGAGAGAGAAAACCCCAAGCAGACTCCACACTGACAGCACAGAGCCTGACACTGGTCTTGATCCCACGAAGTGCAAGATTATGACTTGAGCCAAAATCAAGAGCTGGAGGCTTCACTGATTGAGCCACCCAGGTGCTCCTCAGTATTGTCTTGTTTTAAATGATAGAAGTTTGTTGTATTTAGAATAGGTCAGTGAATGTAATTCAGTCTTTTAAATTAGGAGTACTGTATAAGGCAATTGTGTGTCATCTGTATGTCATACACACAAATGTATTTCTTATGCTTCCCATGGATATAAGTCTCTGTCAGACCTGTTTATAAAAAGGAAATTGTTTCATTATGATCCTCTATCTCACATATCATAAATAAAATGTATACCAAATATAGGTCTGTTTTGAGGAGAGGAAAAATGTTTCAAGCAGTTTTTGCTTCTATTTTAAAATAGACTTTTCTACCACTTTTAAAGAAGAAATATCATCTGCTTTTAAATATTGAAAAGAAATCTAGAGCCTTCCTAGCAAGCTGAAAAAGATGAGTAAAACAAAGATACTAGAACATATGATAAAACTCTATTTGAGTTTAATATTTTTTAAATGTTTTGGTAACTTTGTGCTTTATCTTGTTTTAATGTTCATTTATTTTGAGAGAGAGAGAGAGTGTGCGAGTACACACACATACACGTGGGCCGGGGGTTGGGGAAGTGCAGAAAGAGAGGGAGAGATTGAATCCCAAGCAGGCTCCTTGCAGTCAGCGCAGAGCTCGACATGGGGCTCCATCTCACAAATCGTGAGATCCCGACCTGAGCGGAAATCAAGAGCCATTTAACTGAGCCACCTAGGTGCCCCTAACTTTGTGCTTTTTTTTTTTTTTTTTTAAAACTTTGTGCTTTAATATAGGTGTATGAGGGGCACCTGGGTGGCTCAGTCGGTCAAGCATCTGACTCTTGGTTTTAGTTCTGGTCATGATCTCCCAATTCAGGAGACTGAACCCTGCATGGAACCTGCTTGGGATTCTGTCTCTCCCTCTCTCTTTGCTTCTCTTTTTCTCTCTCGAAATAAATAAACTTGAAAAAATAATATAAGTTTGTGATTACATATAATTTGAATTGAAAACCCAACAAGTATTTAGATTTTTGGAAAACTGAAGAAATATTTTTCTTAGTTTCTTTTGGGCAAAATGTAGACCATTATACTAACTCAAAGATTTCAGGGAAAATGTATAGTATTTAAAATTCTTATTGCAGGGTATCTGGGTGGCTCACTTGGTTGAGCTTCCGACTTTGGCTCAGGTCAGGTCATGATCTCACTGTTGGTGGGTCTGAGCTCCACATTGAACTCGCTGTTGTCAATGCAGAGCCTGCTTCAGATGCTCTGTCCCCCTCTCTTTCTGCCCCTCCCCTGCTCATGCTCTTTCTCTCAAAAATAAACATTAAAAAAAATAAAAATAAAATTGTTATTGCAGTTTTACTTTTACATCCCTTCTTCCCTTTTGAACCTG